GGATATTTTGAAAATTTCGTATGGAAATAAATGTTAATTGCATTGCTTAAAATCATTAAAAAAAAAGGGCATATGCGCCAGCGCTTCCGGGGGTTCGCCCCCTGGTCCCCAACCAAGGCTTATGCCTACGGCCCAAGGCTCATTTTTCATTTCGACCACGGATTGAGTGTACATAAGGACACCGTTTTTTTTACGTCATGATTTGTGGGTGTTTTCGTAAGTTCAGCAATCAAGATAGTAGACCGTGGGTTGAGGCTCCAAAATCGGCTTAGTTTACGAATTCTGTGACCCACCGATTCGCGCTACTTGGCATTCGCACAAAAATGTCAATACTATTTTATTGAAACATAATATAATTGTCGGCAATCGTAAATTTGGGGAAACTGTAACCAAAAATGAGAATTTATCTTCGAAAAAATAATGTCATTCACGAAGCAGTACCCAATCACAGCACACTTACCATACCTGTTAAGCATTGATGAGACGCTATTAGCGAATCACAAACGTTCTTGTAAACTCGGTAACTAATGTAAACAATGTCGCGAGGATAGTGACAATGTGAAGCAATTTGGACGGAAGTTCTCTGGTTTTAGTGGAATATTTAAATATTATATAAGTATACCAGCCTTTAAATAAAATACATCGGTAATAGCTGTAAGATTTTAGAGGTAGTAAATTGCATTTCCCGTCTTCTGTCGACTGTCATACCGTAGTTTTTTAAGCCAAAGTCGACCGTGCTGTACTGAATGTGTATTGTATTAGTGTATTGTATTACTTATCTAGGCCTACATATGCATAGTAGGAAGGGCAAGAAGCAATGTTCATCGACTTTGAATGAGACAGGAAATTCCTGTAAATATATAATATATTTTGGTTCTATTTGGAATCGCTTTTTTTTTTTGTTTTTGTTTTGTTTTGTTTTGTTTTGTTTTTTTTCTATAATTAAATAAATGTACATTTTAAAAGAAAAATGAGGCTGAATTACTTCAAAAAATAAGAACATATTAAGGCTGATGTAAAATTTGAAATGTTTTTATTTGCATGCAATGTAAATAAATAACATTAATCAGTATTTCTTGCCATGCCTGTTGATTTTTGTTTAACTGCTTGAAGACCTTAATAATATGGACTGAATTAATGAATAAAAGTAAAGCAATTGATGATTCCAATAAGGTGAAACAAATAAATTTTTAATATACCTCAGTTCAGCCAGTTGCATCCCATCAGCACTTTCATTAATTATCTCTCTGATCACTCACTGGGTATATACATTTAACTACACAACAGTAAACACAAGGTTGAAACAAGTTTATGATAAAAATCTGAACTTTTATATGAATATTATTGAAACACTGTAGCACATTTATATACCTACACAGAACTGCTTTAAACATAGCTGAATATAGAGTCCAATCCAATCCACTTATAAACATGTGTTAAATATTACAATTATATAATATTATCAATGTAGCCAACCAGCATAAACAATTTAAAAGAAATTAGAAATAATGAAAGTTTTATTGTATTCATTATCATTTATCAGCAAGTAACATGTTATATCATCATTGCGGACTTATAAAATCCGCATACGCCTTCAAACTAAAGGAAAATGCATACGTTTAGAG